ATACTTGTTTCAGATAGACGAGTGTGGATGGGAGAGTTGGAAGGGGTCGACCTCAGTGAACAACGTACCTCCCCTGCGCTGCATATCCCACGGCCTGCCTGCACCGTGTCTCCTGTCGCCCAACCGAACAACACCCCCCACTTCTTCTAATACCACTTCTTCAAAATAGACTCGCCCAGGCCGAAAACCGACTTCTGCGCATGGGCCACGAAGTTTCATTCACACTGTACGTGTGTGCCCGCACGTGGTATTTTGTGGAAGAACCACACTCAAGGGGCCAAAGAGCCGCATGCGGCTCGCGAGCCGCGGTTTGCCGACCACTGACCTAGGCTTTTATTAGTAAGATACTAGTGAGCCAGCACGCGAAATCATGTGAGACCCAGACCTGCAGGAAATCGTGCAAGACCCAGGGCCCCAGACCTGCCGTGCATCAGGACTCCCCCGAGTCCCGCCGCGCCGCGAGACCCAGAGTCAAGTCCCTGCCCACCCGTGCACCTCGCCATGCATGCAGCTCCGGCCACCCACGCGCGCCTCGCCGCGCATGCAGCCTCCTGGTGACCGGTCTTTGGTCGTTACGGCGTTAGGGCTACTGGGTTTTTTATACACACACACACACACACACACACACATACATACATACATACAAACAAACACACACACACACATACACATACATGAAAAATCCTTAAATTAGGACTCTTACCTCTTCCAGTAAAAGATTATTTGTTATGCCACAATATCAGCCATTTCTTGTTGTTGTTTACCTTGAAGAATTCACATTCTGGTACAAAAACTCTTTTGTTGTAAAGCAATTTGGGGGTTAAATTTTACACTGTCTTTAAGTGATGACATTAACAAAGTGTTACCATGTATCCATCAGTACAGGAGAATAAAGGCTAAAGCATAGGGGTCCTGCCCGAGCCGGCGCGGTGGCTCCAGCAGCCCAGAGTGGACACAGGCAGGGGGGCCAGGGTGGCCTGGGGTGGAATTCAGGTATGGGTCCTGGCCACCCGAGATGCCAGTCAGGCCTGACTCCCGGGGCAGCCCGGCACTCCGCGGGAGTCAGGCCTGACTCTTTGCTGCTTAACTGTATGATCCACAGGCAAATTATTTACCCTATCTATACCTCATATTACCTCATTTGTAAAATATGGATGGATATTACCTCTCCTATGGGATTATAGTAGGGATTAAATGAGATAAAGCATGTAGCACAGTACATAGTACATAGGCTCAATAAATATGATCTAAAATCAAAACATGCAAAGCAGCAAGAAAATGGATGAAAGTTCCAAAGATTTATACTAGTATATATCTCTTTGTTCAACAGCTATTATTTGGACCAGACCAATCAGGAAAATGATTAAAATTATTCTTTTTTAAAATATATTTTTATTGATTTCAGAGGGGAAGGAAGAGAATAGAGAGATAGAGACATCAATGATGAGAGAGAATCATTCCATTGACCTTGACCAGCTGCCTCCTGCATACCCCCCACTGGGGATTGAGCCTGCAACCTGGGCATGTGCCCTGGCCAGGTTCCGAACCGTGACCTCCTAGTTCAGTGGTCGGCAAACCGCGGCTCGCGAGCCACATGCGACTCTTTGGCCCCTTGAGTGTGGCTCTTCCACAAAATACCGGCTCTTCCACAAAATACCGACTTCTCGCATGGGCCACGAAGTTTCAATCGCACTGTACGTGCGCACCCGCACGTGGTATTTTGTAGAAGAGCTTCACTCAAGGGGCCAAAGAGCCGCACGTGGCTCACGAGCCATGGTTTGCCGACCACGGTGTTCATAGGTTGACGTTCAACCACTGAGCCACCGCAGCCTCGCGATTCTTTTCTTTTTTAATCTTGAAAGTCCTCTTAAGGCAAGGCTAACTCTTTTTCAAACCTGGGAAATGCTCACCTCATCAAACTTAGCATGGTAATAGTAGTTGTCAGCCTAGAATACTGTTGCTTTCCCTAGGCCCCACTTCGGGGTATTCCTGGGATTTTACAGGAGGGGCCAGGATGCTAAAGATCTTGTAACACATGGAACAGGCTTGCATGATGAAGAAGTGTGTTCCAGACTACCACATCAATAGCATACCATTAAGACACACTAGACTAGACTAATACAGTACTATCTATAAGCTTCTCTTTCGAACACGTTTCGGGTGTCACAGATCCAGTAAGTATGTCAATGAATAAAGCAAGGCCAGGCCTCAGTGTCTGGGACACTGTAGAAACTAGGCAAGATGGAGACTATATGTCCTTTCTAAACCAGGGAGTGACTGCTTAGCTTCAACCAGATGCTAGATCTGATTTTTCAGAGGAAAGCTAGATATTGAGATTTTTATGTAAAATTTCAATTTTAAAGTGTGGCTCAACTTTTTTTTTTAACTCTGACAAAGCAGATGGGTGGGCTGGATTCAGCTCACAGACCATTGGTTTGTAACCTGTAATGTAATTATTTTAGTAAGTTAGCTACAATTCTGGCACAGGTAAACAGTCAGGGCCATAACAGCACTGACCATATTTGCTGGGCTCAGAAAAGTTTGTGGAAAGAAAGCACTAGGTGTCAAGGTCATTTTCTAGAGTTTGAAGAATTGTAGCATCACAAGAGAGCTCTTGAAGAGCTTACTCTCTTTGGAAGGAGGAATTCTATTGGGAGAAATCCCCGCAGCTGCTGTGTCTTGTGGTGCTGGCACTCCTGAATTGGGGGAGGGTGTAGCTGCACTACTGGAGGAAGCCTGAGTGATTCCACGCTAAGCATACTATTCTGAGCCCCCAGTCTTCATCCTGCCTTCAGAAATAAGGGCTTGACCCCAAAGACTCTCCTGGGTTTTGTGGCTTTGGAACTGTGTGATTTATGCCTTCACTATTTCTTCTTTCTTGATCTAGGGTTACTGCCTACACAGCTCCACAGTCCACAGCTGTGGCCATCTGTGTTTTTAGTGGGGGTGTTTCAAGGGTGTCTCAGGAATTTGGTCACATCCTAGTCTAGCCAGTACAGTTCAGATAGTGCTTGAATCCTCTGCCTGGTTTTAAGGTGTCAAATCATCAAATCATCACTTTAATATTGTATAAAAACTAGCATCCCAGTATAATGTTAAGAGACAAACTCCATGTGTACTTTGCATAGTTGTTGCATACATTGATAAACAGTTGATCCTTGAATGTGGGGGTTTAGGGGTGCTGACACCATGCAGTTGAATATCTGTATAACATTTGATTCCCCCAAAACTTAATTGCAGTTGTCTTTCAGTATGCATGGGGGATTGGTTCCAGGACTACTCCCCCCACTCCTACCCCTTGCAGATAAACAAAATCTGCAGGTGCTCAAGTATCTTATATAAAATGGCGTAGAACAATGCATACAGTCAGCCCTCTGGATCCGCAGATTCCCAACCAAAGATCAAAAATATTATTTATCTGAAGTAGGTTGAATTTTCAGATGCGAAAGCCAAGGATACATATGGCCAACTGTATATTCATTGAAAAAAATCTGCATATAAGTAGACTTGCGTGGTTCAAACCCATGTTGGTCTAGGGTCAACTATATATGAACAAGAATAGATTGTATGTTTTGACCTGTATCATATCCAATCTATAAGATAGTATATGACAATGCTTCATTTTTGTTGTATTCTATGGGCTTAAATGCAAAAGTACGTTACTGTAAAACTTGAGTGTTTGGTGTGTGTTTTTAAGATTTTTTTGAGAGAGGATGGGAGAGGGGGAGAGAAACATCAATGTGAAAGCAAAAATCAGCTACCTCTTGCGCACCCCCACCAAGGATCAAGCCCGCAACCCTGGCATGTGCTTTGACCAGGAATGGAACAGGGGACCGCTCGGTGCATGGGACAACGCTCAACCAACTGAGCTACACTGGCCAGGACTAATTTTAACTAGTGTGTGTGTGTGTGTGTGTGTGTGTGTGTGTGTGAGAGAGAGTGAGAGAGAGAGAGAGAGAGAGATCTGTCCTGAGATTTCTTTTTTTCCTTTATTAATTAGGGTATTACATGTGTGTCATTACCCTCCTATTGCCCCCCCACCCCACTCCCATTCATGCCCTCACCCCCTGGTGTCTGTGTCCATTGGTTATGCTTATATGCATGCACACAAGTCCTTTGGTTATTTTTATTAATTTCTGAGAAGAAGGGAGGAAGATAAAGATAGAAACATCAATGATGATGTCATACCCTTTACCCCTAAATGCTTCATTGCCTAATTCAAGTCAGTAAATTAAGTAAATTTAACATTAATAGAATACTTTTTCTGATCTACCATCCACGTTTCAATTTTTTCAATTGATCCATTCATTTTAAAAAATATTTTCCGCATTTAGTATAGGATTCAGTCTAGGATCGGGTATCCAATTTAGTTGTCATGGCTCTATTCCTTTAATCTCTGATATTTTTCTAGCCTTAAATCTTTTATGACACTGGCATTTTTAAGATGACATTCTCACCCTCTCCTACTCTCTACATTTTTTTAATATAACATTTCTCATTTGGGGCTTGTCTTTTTCCTCATGAGCCATTTCAGGTTACGCATCCATGACTGGAATTCTATAAAGTGATATGTTCTTTTTGGGGTATCACATCTGGAGGTGAACGCTATCTGTCCTTTATTGATGATGTCAATTTATTCACCTAGTCAAGATGTTGCTCAGTTTATCCACTGTATAGTTAAAATTTTCCCCCGTGCAACTAATAAAAAAGTCTTTGGGGAGATACTTTAAGACCACTTATCTATCCTACTCCTAATTCATATTCCCCTCCCTAGATTTATTAACCATTGATGATTTTTGCTTGAAGCAGCTTGTATACTGTGATAGCTACAAAATGATTTTTCTAGCTCTAGCACTCTGCATGTTTACCAGTTGGATTCTACTGTAAACAAAAGCTCTCCCTTCTCCACCTATGTAAGTGTGTATTTTTAACTATTATTGATATGGACTTATGGGTTCCTCTCTTCTACAGGCCTATAACCCGTTAATATCCTTAATTATTGTGGTGCTTAAACTGTCACAGATTTGGCCAGTGGGAGCCTCTTTAGGCTGACTCACAGGTCCTGTGACCAGCTCCCATTATTTTTTGAGTACTTCCTCGCTCTCTGGCATAACAGCACATTTCAGGTGGAGCTTCAGTTTTATATGAGACCTTCAGGTACACAAGTGGCTTCAGTATAGTGTTTGGCTCTCCTGTGAGGATAAGCACAGCCTGCTGTGGTAGCATAGTGGACGGTCCTCTAGCCCAGTGTATGAGGAGAGGCAAGGCAGTAAGACTAAGGAAGGGGAGGTCATTGGAAGGTGCCAACATATAGAGTATCGGTATGACTTTGGGAAGCAGAGGGGAGGAAGGACAATAGAAAAGTGTCTCAGGCAGATAGATGGTTGTAGGCTAATGCCCTGAGAAAAGGCAGTACAGGACATCTATGCAAAGGATGGAGACAAGATCAGATTTGCATCTAAGAAAACAAATACTCTAGCTGTGACGTGGAGGAAGGCAAGACCTATGGGGAGACCAGCAGGAAGTTGATGAGAATAATATTCAGACATGCCCTGAATAATAGTAACTAATGCTTCATGACTTATGACTGTTTTCCATTTAAATTATACTACGGTTATTGCCATTTTACAGATGAAGCTTCAAAGTCGTAAGGATTGAATATCTTTTCTACAGACTAATAAACGCCAGAACCAGGGTGTAAACCATGACCCACTTGATCTCACACACTGTTTAGTTGGTTGTGAAAGAACAGGAAGTCAAGGATCACACCCTGGTTTCTAATTTTGTTAACTGAGTGGTAACATTCATGGAGAGAACAGAAAGCCTTTGGGGAAGGGCTGTGGTAAGGAGTTCCTTTTTGGACATAGTGACTGATATCTTTGTGTATATCCTTATGGTGCTGTTTTAGGCAGTTGGCTATATATCTGGAGTCTTGGAGAGAGTATGATGCTTAAGATATCAAGTTGGGAATCATCAGCCTTTAAAAGTTTTTGAAACCTTAGTAGTGGGTGTGATCACTGGGCAAAAACAGGTAGAATAAGAAGAGGCAGTTTAGGGCAAAAACAAGGGAAACATTAATGTGATAAGAGGTGGGAAGAAACTAGGCTACTATGATGTCACAGAGACTATGAAAAGAAGGAGTGATTGGTAGTGTCAGATGCTTCAGAGGTCAAGTGGCATAGGGACCAGAAGATATATCATCTGGATTTAGGGGAAGAGAGATGATGGAGAGAGTATTTCAGTGGAACAGTGAGATGAGCCACATTAGAATGAATTGCAGGGATCGGAATAGTGCAAGGTGGCCAGAAGGCCCATGTATGTGCACACTGGAAGTGATCTATATTCTTCACCCACATTTTACTTTTTCCCTCATGTTCCTTAGACATCTTTCATGTAGATGGTTGGAAGTCATTAAGCAGTCCCTAATGGCTCTTTTTACCTATGGTTAGGTAGAGTCTTATACATAGGAGCTTTGTGAATACCTTGTAGATACAAAGAGTACCTAACTCTTGATAGTCTTGGTTTGGAAGGAAGAAGAGACATCTAGATGCCCAGTAAAAGTCAGCAGATTGCATGCAGAATGAAATTCTGTGCATATAATGAAAGTCAAATTAGAGATTCCATAAAAAATTCAATAAATTTATTTTTAATTACCTACTTAATTATAAACCAGCAAAAGTAATTCAGTATTTTATTTTAAATTATTTTTAACTCTTAAAAAAATTGATTTCAGAGAGAGGGGAAGGGGGAGGGGGAGGGAGAGAGAGACGCACACACATCGATGTAAGAGAAACATTGATCAGTTACCTCCTGCACACACCCTGACCGGGAATCAAACTGGTAACCTTTCTGTGCACAGGATAACGCTCAAGCAACTGAGCCCCACCAGCTGGGGCAATACTTTTTATTTGTAAAATATTCTGTGTAGCCAAACTGGTTTGGCTCAGTGGATAGAGCGTCGGCCTGTGGACTGAAAGGTCTCAGGTTCAATTCCAGTCAAGGGCATGTACCTTGGTTTCGGGCACATCCCCAGTAGGAGGTGTGCAGGAGGCAGCTGGTCGATGTTTCTCTCTCATCGATGTTTCTAACTCTCTATCCCTCTTCATTCCTCTCTGTAAAAAATCAATAAAAATATATTTTAAAAAATATTCTGTGTAGTAGTCTACATTGCTTTAAGGAATGGTATGATTTACAGTTCTGGGACCTATTTGCAAGAAATAGAAGATTGGGTGTGAGATAACTCTCCCTTATGTGTGTGATTTAGACATGTGTCTTACAATTATCACTTCCGTGGAATCTTATGAAGATGCAGGTGATTATTTCTCATTCTTAAAAATATTTGACTATCTAGTGACTGAGCACAGCAGAAATATTATGAGATTGTATGGTTTACACTGTATGGGTTTTGGGGGTTTTTTTGCCTTTTGAAAATGGGGAATTGCCTGGTTGGTGTGCTCAGTGGTTGAGCATTGACCTGTGAACCAGGAGGTCATGGTTTGATTCCTGGTCAGAGCACATGTCTGGGGTTGCAGGTTTGATCCCCAATAGGGAGTGTGTAGGAGGTAGCCAATCGATGTTTCTCTCTCATAGATGTATCTATCTCTCTATCCTTCTCCCTTCCTCTCTCTCTCTCTCTCTCTCTCTAAAATATCCATAATAACAAAATAGTGAAAAATGGGAAATAATAAACCCTGGCAAGTGTGGTTCAGTTGGTTGGAGTGTTGTTCCATACAACAAAAAGTGACAGGTTCAATCCCCCATTGGGGACCGTGTTGGAGGCAATCAATTTACTAGTATGTTTCTCACATTGGTGTTTCTTTCTCTCTCTCTCTCTCTCTCTCAATCACTCCTATATAATAAAAGGCTAATATGCAAATCTACCAAACGGCAGAATAACCGGTTGCTATGATGCACACTGACCACAAGGGGGCAGACGCTCAATGCAAGAGCATGAATGTCATGCACTGGGCCTCTAATTTTTAAATAAAAGGGAAATAAGGATTAAAAAGTAGGTTGGTTAATTGACCCTTGTGCTACTAGTTGATTTATGATTTCATTATCACTGCACAAGTTGCTTTATTTACATGGGTGCTTAACTCAACTAGTGTCAGTATGATTGGGGGTCATTTTCCTCTACTTAAACTGTAATCCCACATCCTGCCATTTTAGCACCTGTCCCAGTGGCATCAGAGCTAGGTGAAAGCCTAGCTGGGAAGGTCTGACTATTGATGGGCCACCAGCATCATTTTTTAAAACAAAGGATTGCATATTTCCTTTTTTGCCCAGTTATTTCATTTAGATATTGGGTTTCCTTCACTCAGACTTCAAATTCAAACCTTTTGGCTTCAAAGTACAGGGAGAATATAAGGCAAACAGGACAGGCATGCTTTGTGGTGATATTATCAAGTCCTTGTTTTCTTATTTTATTATTTCAGACATCAAAATAATTGTGCTGCTTTAGAGAAGTGATGTGATAGCCCTTGGGAAAACATGACTGATTATATATATAAGTAGGATTTCTCAAGGCTGGGAAAGTATGGTTGCCAGATAATACTACTATGTATTTTTAATGTAACAGCTTTTTTTTTTTTAACAATTAACTGAAATTGAAGTTTGGGGGGGGGGGTTGGCTTTTCTCACTTGTGTTTAAACCAGTAATGGCTATATTACATCAGAAAAGTCTTTGGCTAGGTTGAATTTGTCCATTTCCAACCTTCCATTTTAATATATTAATGGTTTCTCTTTGAATAAAATGAAATATGTAATTAAATTTAACCATACCTTAATTTCTTTTAATAGAAAATGACTGCGGTGTTGGAAGACCATTGCTATTGGAAAGCCGGTTAGCATCCATTTCCTAAGAGAAACTTGACCACCATTTGCTCTGGCATGGCGCAAAGCAGTCCACAGCTTGATATGCAGGTTCTCCTTGACCTCCGACAACGTTTCCCTGAGATTCCAGAGGGTGTGGTGTCTCAATGCATGTTACAGGTAGATTACCCACCAATGATAGTGATATTAAGCTACATTTTACCTTATTAGAGCTGGCTTTGTGTTGTGGCAACTAGAACTCTGTTAAATTTTCTTGTGTAGGGGGCAAGGGTGACACTGAGAGCAGGATTTCTCAACTTTGGTGCTATCAACATTTTAGATTGGATAATCTTTGTTGTGGTGGTAAAAAATTGTAGCAAATAAGATTCTCCTCATATTTCAATTTCTTGGGCTGCGTCATCAGTCCCCAAAAATGTAGAATTGAATTTTGAGTCTCAAATTTATAACTTGTTGAACTATATACTTTTGAGTCTATTTTTGAAAATTTGTAGAGTTCACTCTCTTTCTTACTGTTATTCTACTTAGTAAATGCCATTAAGGCCACTTTCTTTAATCACATTCCTTTTGTCTTGTCTTCTAGTGAAATAAAGGTCTTTCATCTCTGATAGACCCACTCAAGAGGCAATAGACTTTTATATCATCCTTCAGAGGATCTCAGTGTTTGGGGTTATACCATTTCCATATTTAGTTGACATTTGGAAGCAGCACTTCTGTCTTGCCCACTGGATTCCTTCACACAATCAATTCAAACTCTACCTTACTACAGTATGAGTGGCTCAGGATATAACCTAAGCCTATATACAGTTGAGATTAATGACGATTAAAGAGAGACTCACAGAACAGTGGTGGTAACAGAGGTACTTCCTTTGTTTGCAAGCCCTTCTACTAGGTCTAGAACTTTGGGTCAATTATTTTAGTGTTACAGCTTGTCTTTGTTTTTTCTAACACACATTCCATCTGAATTTCTACTCTTTAGCCTCCCAATTCGGTCTCTGGTAGAGTATTGTTGACACCGGACAAAGTGAGGTCCTCTTCCCCATTGGGTGCTGCTGGGGGTGGAGCCCTTGCGATGTCCCAAAAAAAGAAATTTTCTGAGACTTGCACAGGAGGATGAGTGTTGTTTGTTTGCATGGAATTACGTCTCTAGTCATAGAAGAAGTATAGCTGGGGTTTCAGTAGAGCTAGAAGCAAAGCCAGTGTCCAGAGTTTCCTTTCCATGTTGAAGACAGCTTCAGTTCAGCATCAGGCTAGTTGCAGTCCATTAGTCCATTGTGTGCATGGCTATGTGGATGAATGCAAGGAAGCAAGATCCACAAGCCCAGAGTCACAGGAGTCCCAAATGAGCCAAGCCACACCCATTCCGGCCAAAGACCTCTGTTCCCAGGTGTGACTGACAGAAAATCACCTTCCCTAGTCATCCCAACTTTACTGGGCATGCGTCTGTCTTCCCTTTGTCTAGTCCCCTTCCTCCAATGTTTTGCAGGGAACATGCATAAATGTCTGGCCTTCCCTTTGCTCCTTTCCTATCTATCTCTATCTATCTATCTATCTATCTATCTATCTATCTATCTATCTATCTATCTATCTAAAAGGCTAATATGCAAAGTGTCCTCTTGGGAGTTTGACCAGGGGTTTGATCACTTGCTATGATGTGCACTGACGACCAGGGGGCGACGCAGAGTGAAGGAAGGCCCTGGCCAGCAGCTGGGGAAAGAAGGCCCTGGCTGGCAGCCAGGAGGCCCTGATCAGCTCTGATTGCCGACCAGGCCTAGGGACCCTACCCGTGTATGAATTTCATGCACTGGGTCTCTAGTTATTAATAATTAGCTTATTACGATATCAAAAGTATTTCCCACTGCAGTGAAACCAAGTGGGGCTCTGGTTTAAAACATTAGCAATCTCCTAGGGCCCCACCTAGCTCTGACCTTTTTATTTTATTTTACTTAAGTTCTTTATCACCTATAATTTTTCATGCCTTAGTTGTTTTCATGTTACTTACTAAACTGAAAGGATGAAACTATAAATTCAACTCAATGAACATTTGGTGATAACTTACATTGTCATTAGTCTTTGACTCTTTTGTTCCTTTGGAATTAATAGTTAATTGATAGGGAACTTACCTCCTACCAGTCAGAAAATATATGATACTCAGTAGTTTGCATTTAAAACATAAACCTTACATCCTATCTCAGGGCTCTCATCCCTCAATTTAGGATCACTTTTTGAAAGTATGATGCTTTTTTTGCATCGGTCCTTTCCAGAGAGTTCATATATGTCTTCATAAAATTTATGACCTCTTTAACTAAACAGTTTTGATTTTTTTATTCTTCATGCATACTGGTTGAAACGTTTTTTATCCATTTTTTTTCTTTTTAAGATATTTACCAGGTTAAATATGACATTTGAATCTGTTCTGGTGGTATTCTTTTTAAAATACTTAAATATCTTTTTTAAAATTTTTTTCAGGAAAATTTACTCAACTTGTCACTGTAGACATATTTGAAATAAGCTGACAAAACCAACTTGGTATCATTTTGAATTTGGATCCTTTTTGCAACAATACTAATTAGGCTACCTATTTTCAGTGTAGAAAATATGCAATTTCCAGATCATTAATACAAATGTCAAATAGTGAAGTGTCCATAACTGCTTTAGGTTTCAAATAAAACTCTCTAAGTTTGTCTTCTCCTCTTAATCTATCAGTTTATAAAAATACTTTAAGGAGATAGTCTTATTTTCACTTTTCATATTTTTTTTCTTCAGCTATGTCAGTGACATATGAATCCTTTGGCTCCAAATTTGCTTAATATCTAACTTTCCTTCCTTGATCAGCATGATTTCCAAGAAAGATAAGAAAAACCCCAGACTTTGAATTCTAATTATTTTCTTTTTAAATTTTAACATTATGTGTGTGTTTTCTGTGGATCATAAAGTATTTTAAAAAATACTTGAATTTGATTTCAGAGAGGATTTATATGCCCTGGCCGGTTTTGCTCACTGGTTAGAGCATCAGCCTGCAGACCGAAGGGTCTCAGGTTCAATTTCTGGTCAAGGGCATGCACCTCGTAACTCAGTTGCAGGCTCAATCCCCGCCCACCAGGTCAGTGCTCATGGTGGAGGCAACCAATCTGTGTGTCTCTCTCACATTGATGTTTCTCTCTCTCCTACTACTCTCTCTGAAAATCAATGGAAAAATATTATCTGGTAAGAATTTAAAAAATAAAAAGCTTTATATAAGGAAAAGGATAAAATTTACTTGTGGAATGTTCATAACATCAATTCTTTAAATTTCTGATACTTCATTTTGCAAAGGTTTGCTTGACCAAATCTTCTTTTACTCCCTAAAGCTTTAGTGTAGTAATGTACTTTTGGCCTAACATCCTCTCCCTTGAAATTTTTGCGTTTTAAGGGAAAGAGCTCTGGAAGTCAGGAAACCAAGAATCTAGACCTGGCTCTCCTGTTAACTAGTTAAGTGCTTGTTGTCAAGCGATATAATTTTTCCAGGCATCTCTTTTCTTATCTGTAAATGAGTTGCTCTTGTGTAGATGAAACCTAAGAGTTCTTCCAGCTCTAAAATTGCAGCATTGCCCGGCAGGTGTGGCTAAGTGGTTGAGCATTGACCTATGAATCAGGAGATCAGGGATTGATTCCCCAGTAGGGGGAGTGCAGGAGGTAGCCGATCAATGATTCTCTCTCATCAGTGATGTTTCTATCTCTCCCTCTCCCTTCCTCTCTGAAATAAATTAAAAATAATAAAATAAATAAGTAAAATTGCAGCGTTGTATGTCCTATCTTAGGTTTAACCTCAGTTGGTTCTCGGCAGAAGTATAATGTTTCATTTTTGTATAAAATGTACTTTTCCTTAAAATAAATATATGGTAATAAGTATGTAATGTGCATATTTGTATGCATATTTATGAACTACAGAGAAGGTAGTGATAATTAAGAAACGTTAATAGATTATTTCTTTAAAATTTTTTTAATGTTTTTATTGATTTTAGAGAGAGTGGGAGAGATAGAAACATCCATTGATGCATCAACACTGATCAACTGCCTTGTGCACGCCCCCTGCTGGGGATTGAGCCCACAACCCAGGCATGTGCCCTGACCAGGAATCAAACTGGGGACCTCTTGGTGTATAGGTAGATGCTCTACCACTGAGCAACACTGGCCAGGCTTTTTTTTATTTATTAAAAAAAAATTTTTAATTGATTTTAGAGCCCAACCATCATGGCTCAGTGGTTGAACATCAATCTATGACCCAGGAGGTCATGGTTCCATTCCCGGTCAGGGCACATGCCCGGGTTGTGGGCTTCGATCCCCAGTAAGGGGACTGCAGAAGGCAGCTAATCAATGATTCTCTCTCATCATTGATGTTTTTATCTCTCTCTCCCTCC